AGTTATTATAAATATATTAAAAATATTTTTATTATATTTTTATTATATTTTTTATTTTTATAAGTTTCTGTAAAGTACTAGAGAAAAAGATCTGTTAATTCAAAGAGGATGTGAACTTGCGAAATATTGGGCCCAATTACAGGTGCATTCTCTTTGTAACAAATTAATAAAATCATACATACGAACAGACCATCAAGATTCGCAATAGTTTTTGTTGCTCATTAATTATTGCAGGGCCTTGGGTCTGTATCATTGGCTCTGTGTACCTGGAGAAGCCTATAGTCGAACCACTTACTGATTTTATTCTCATAGCAGATTGTTCTGAAGATAATAAGAAAAGGGTGAAAAAGCTCGCAGTTTTTTTTGAATCTTTATATCTTGCTTTTTGAACCTTAAACAATTATTATAAAAATTTAAAAGAGTTGGATAAGTCCAAGGCTGAAAAAATACAAAGGTTTTTTTTTTACTGTAACCAATATCAAGCTGACGAAAATGAAGTTAATTTTACATATCTTCATAGGCTTACTGAAGAACTGAGAGACTTGATTTGGAAGGCGAAAACTAACAAAAGAAAAATTATCATTGTCAAGTTCACCAAGAGTGATATTAATCTCCTTCATAATAAAAAGATTATTTATACTGATGATGAATCTTTCAAAGGTTGGCAAATGGTTATTTCAGATGAAAATGAAAAGAGTCAGGAAGGATTACTGAAATTGCACAAGTAAATATAATAATTCTAATAACATTGTAAATGCATAACAAATAAAAACTTCTATGTTGACAAGATGGTTATTAGCATAATAAATCGTATTAAAACTTTTTTTGCACCAACTATTTCAAAGTTAAGTGTGGAATTGATTCAATAAGGTCATTGTACTAAATTTTTTCCAAGTGTGACCACACTGGTAAAGCCACTGAAATTTTCTGATTTTGATAAATATCAAAGTTTTATTTAACTGTGACCACTTGGTTACACTTTTTTATGTTTTAATAATATATGCTTATCAATTATTTTAAACTTGTAAACTGTATTGTAATATAATCCCTGCACAGTTCCCAAGACTGTCTTCAGAACTTTTTTAATCTGCAATAGTGTTCTATAATTTTTGTGATAACTTACTAGAAATTAGACTTAGTACCTGGGTTATCGAGGATTATAAGATGATCTGTTAACAATTGCTAAATCACATTGTAAAGAAAAATAAAAAATATTTTTGCACAATGCTATGCAATTATTTATTAAGCTTATTATTCTATTACAAGTGATATTAATAAATGTTATATTTGCTTTACTATGCTTATAACTTGTATGCTTTCATAAAAAACACCATACTATATTTAAAAAAATTCTATTTTTCTCACTCTCAGAAGTACCAGCAAAATAATTATTGATTATAATATTAATTATGTTTGTACTCTGTGAGAAGCATTATAGGTCTAGAGATGTTAGATGTTTTGGTAGTTGATGGTCTTGATCTAACAAGTATTTTCTCAGAGTTTTCAACAACTCTAGGTAGTAGCTAATCGTTAGATCGTCTCTCTGAAATTACAAAACCAAATGAGGGTTCCAAGACATTTATATAATTGTGATTTCCCATGATAATTTTAACCAATACTGCAATATTAGAAAACAAATAAAACTTTGTATAAAAAAGCTTATAAACTAATAAATACATTTGAAAGAATTTATTATTAATACATAGAGAATAGATAGATATGTATAAGGTAGGCAAACAAGAAGCTTATTGCTAATAAAAACTATCAAGAATCTATTAAAACTACTTTACAGAAATCTTGATTTTAAAAATATAAACAGCATATATCTAACATATAATAAAAGTCTTAGTTTGCTCTGTTAACTCTTTTGTAAGAAACTTATTAATATTATAAATATATTATTAATATATTAGAAATAATTTATTCATCACCCAGGTGAATTATTAACTTACACAATCATAGAGGGGTGAAAAATATATTTACAGTCATTCTCTTACAATCATCTTCTATGTAATCACAAATTTTATACAATCATACAAGTATATCTATTTGTCTAACTTATATTAAAAATACCTCTATATAATCACAATTATATTACAATCACTATCACATTTTTTTAAAAGTTTTTATATTAATTTATTAAATAAATTACTACTTTAAAATCACAGTTCTCAAGCATATAAATCAATTGATCAGATAATAACCGTGATAACACTCAAGCATTACAATTGATAACAATATTTATAGAGTTAAATGCTTGAGCATCCTTTTTCTGTTTTTTGTAATATTTGCTCTACTATCTAAAAGACCTAATAAAAAAAATGTAAAAGTAATGCTTGAGTGATCTTTGTTAATGGTAAATTTTTGAAGAAAAAAGGTAGGTTGTGCTGAGAGTGGAATTGGTAAATAATTATTTGGGCATAGATCAAAAATTTCGAGCATCGAAATAAACTTTATTTATTGAGTTTTAATTCGGTCAATCATCGAGCATCAGTTAAAATTAAAATTTTACTATTGTTGA